ATTATTTCAGTCAAATATGAATTCTAAATATCCAATTATTTCCAACATTCATTTTTGCAGAATCCTGGATTTGTTCTTATCTTCTTCGAAGCAAACTAAGCAGGTGACTGACTCAAGTGAATTGTCAATCACAGCCTATTAAATAAAGTACATTACATATATAAATCATTTGTCAAAGTTACATTGTCGTGCGTTAGAGCCTTCATCGCCCCTTCAGCTTTGTTCTCGCATACAGACAAACGCTTGCTTTATTATGAGTGTTAATACAGTAGATGTTTGTGCCGCTACGATAAGTGGAGAGAACGGCACGTTGACTGTTTGCATTTCATTCACACGCTGCTATATGAATGTAGCAATCGCCTGCAAACGAGTAAGAACAGAAATAATGTTCAATCGTCATGCGCTTGTTGGTGTGTGTTTGATTGTCGCTTGATTAGCGTACACAAATGTCAGTCGAAATAGATGTTGAACGTTTAATAGAAGTTTCTATACATATAAACGAATAAAAGCATGGATGGACATGAAATTGGATGTATTGGTGCGCAAATTTGACAGAACACTCAATTTAAATCTTATTCAATTTTTATTTTCATTAGTTTTTGGGTTTTTCGCAAATTTTTTATTCTTTTTCCAAGTATTTGTTTAATTTTCCAATATATTGATGTGCAACAGTAAGATTTGAATGCCAAAAAAATGGGAAATTGCAAGAGAAAATCAATGAATAAATGTACAAAAAAACACACATGGCTCTTCCACTGGTGTCTCTGGAAACTGTGTTGAAAACAGTCAATGACAGATAGCTGAGGATATATGCTGAGCATAGAAACTCAGTAAGCTGAGATTGGGACATTTTGACTTTATGACATGTAGTCCATATAAATGAACTTCTGGACTAAACGTCAAAAAGTCAAAATGTCCCAATCTCAGCTTACTGAGTTTCTATACTCAGCATATATCCTCAGCTATCTGTCATTGACTGGTTGAAACAAAGTGTGGTTTTTGGAGAAGTACTCGATTCATGCGCCAAGTACATGGTGGTGAGAATCTGAAACTATGTACAACGAACTGTCATCTATCATAATGAATACAAACAGTATTCACGTACACTTGTTTTACTGCCGTAGTATAGATGACTTTTCATGTCAACGTTCTTTTCAAACGATTCGTAATGTTTGCTGTTGCTGTTGATTGTTAAACTAAAATGCCCAGACCGATGCAGCGCAAGTACACAGATTTGCAACGACTTGTTCCGGTTGTGAAATTCATCGAAGGTTCTGGAAAAGTCATATAAATAGAAAACAGACAGGAAAGATCTGGAATTCTTGAATATATACAAATACTGGCAGACCTATATTACTTTTCCGTACACAACGTGTCAAGGAAAAGTATAGGAATTGGTCCCGAAAACTTTTTTCGCAAAATTAGCCTAGATCATCATGAAAACTCATGAAACGCGTAGAAAACCACTTTTTGAGACACTTCTCCGATCGTGTGCCGTCGTCGTCGTCGTTGTCGTCGTCGTTGTCGTCGTCGTTGTCGTCGTCGTAGCTGTTTGTTTACACGATAACTCAAAAAATAATTGAGCTAATCAAAATCTGGAAATGCCAAAAGTTTTTAATTCAAAAAACTTAGTTCGAGTTCGAAGATGAGCCATTTTTGATTTGATCCTGGGGTACTTGCCCTAAGAAAAACCTCTAAAAATTGACACTTTTGTATGAGAGGTACTCATTAATCGATTCTGATTGGGTTCAAACTTTCTGAGGTTTCATTTTTTGGAGAAAAAATAAGATTCTGAAAGTTTCATGTTGATCCCATTTGCAGAAGTTTCATTTTTTGTCCTCAATTTTTGTCGACATTTTCCTGGAAAAAATTGAGGGGCAAAAACCAAAATTCTGCAATTTAGCCCAATTGCAACAGCAACAACAACAGCAACAGCAACAGCAGCAGCAGCAAGGCTATCTAGATGTACATCCAAATGGGGGGCCATTGATTGGTTCAGTGCCGCTCTTCAGGAACGACATCTTCGATGTTGCTGGAACACCTTTGTACGGGGCATATCTACCATGTGGTGTTCTAGTCAATGACAGAACCAGCAGACCGTTGTGTGCTCATGTCGAGTATGATCCAACGGATGAGCGTTACAAACGTTTCTTGAATCTGGATTCGCCATATATTTTTAATATGGTTGCAGCGTTCGAAGACTAATCGAGGAAGTTTCAACCGTTTGCAATCTACTGAAAATGACGCAATGAAAAAACGGCTCAAATGTCTGAACAATCGTGCAACAACTTTGAATCCGCCAGAAAAATACGCCAGCATTCAATTGGATAATGGTAGATATGTTAGTTTAAATACAAAATCGGTCCTTTTCGGTCGTTCAGAGAGGCGCGAGAATGGAACAAATTTCTGTTTATATCAGGTGATTGGAGTTTTGGATAGTCTCACTGAACGTGAGCAGAAGTGCCTTCGGCTATGTTATAATCGGCGAGATTTTGATTTCATTATTGTTGTGAATGATGAAATACACACGGTGGGAATCGATCATTGTTCTTTCGAACAAGTAAATCGAATCTATTACTCATGTACTAACCCAGACTGTTCGGCAAAAGTGTATCTCACATCATATGATCGTGCATTGTGGTTTTTCTTGATACCACACAATTCACATGAGGTTCACCATCATACAGGTGGTAGCCCTTAATTTTATCATTTTTATCATTTCCACTACTTTTTTCTTATATTTAAACTGCCAATTCTTTACTAGAGACCTCCGCGGTTAGCAATTGAGCTTCGAATTTCATTTTTAATAATGAAAAAAACCAAACCGAAGAATCTCTATAAACGAATTGACACGGTAAAAGGAAAAAAACAATGCCTACTGACTGCGCGCGTAAGAGCCACAGATATTTTCGTCATGCATAAACGATGAACACAAATTCACTCAAAGTAAAGGCAACACAACAGAAACTGCGCGGAAAAAGGAAACAAATAACAACTATCGGCAAGAACCGAACATTCACTTGTTTCGTTTTTGCGCTAAGTTTTGAGCTGTTTGATTTTTTCGCTCATTCTTGTTCTGTTTTCTTCTTATGCTCTTTCGCTCTTTGTCTCCTTTTTGTGCGTACTTTCTGTCTGTATGCCGCACATTGTTTACATTGATGGAAGATCAAACATATTTCAACTGGGCATAATTTTTCATATTGTTTAAAAGAGAAGAAGAAAGAGACAATTTTTGTCGAAGAGATTTTTGTTTTGTTTATTTCTTTATCATCAACAGTCGTAGTTAATAATTACCAGTTGTTTATGAAGGAAGGGAATCACTTTATGGAAAGAAATTAGGACTTTATTTCCAAAAAAAATTATTCATCATCAACAATAATAACGTCATCGTCATACGATTCATCTTCGCTATCACTGGCTAAGCCAAAGTCAATCGCATCGCGAGCAGGAATCAAATTGTGGTAGAATGTTTGATGTTTGCTTGGGATGAACTTCAATAGCTCCATTAAATCGTCAAACATTTTTTGGTTGATTTCGTTTCCGTTCGGATACAAACATTCCATTGGAGTTTCGCAAAATTCGGTCTCATCAATGCCTCTCTTTTGTATGTCGATATGTTTCCATGTGTCCTTCTCTTCGACAATGATATGAAACAAATCATTTTTCAAGTAGAGAATTTTTCGAAAATGATTCCAGTTAATTTTTACTTTTTGCACATCTTTCTTTCGGTTCACAATCATTTTTTCCAATTGTTCAGAGGAAATGAAATCTTCTGGCAGCATTTTTGTTATTTCAAACTTTGGTTCGCTCACTTTCGATTCGGAAATCACTTTTATCCAATCATCTGGGGTGTAAACATCACCAGTAAATCGCTTACGCTTTTCAATGAGGCTGAAACAGCGATCACAACTATTGTAGCTGTGGCCTGAGACGAAGAATTTTTGCTCAATCGATTCAACAGTGCTATGTTCAGACAAAAATTTCTTCAGGAACAATGTCAGTTTAATGTTTCGATTCTGGCCAGGACATGAATCCGAATTCAAGATGATTTTTGTTGTTTCGTTCGAAATATGGTTGTTGAGATGTTTTATGAGACAAGATCCCACCTCTTGGCCGCCGCGTGATGCTATATTCTCGGCCCAAACATACATATAACCTGTTAGTGTGGCCAAACAAAAAATGATGAGCGAAATGGCAAAGTTTCAATGAATTTCATCGGTAAAATAAATATTCACCTTTCTTTTCAATTTCATCGTACACACATAAGTTGTACGTCCATAATTGTCGTTTGTAGAAAACGACTGATGTGGTGAGAGATGGTGTTTCAAGTGTCTTCTGAAGGTCGAATGTTAAGACCGCTGTTTTTCCTTTGCTTTCAATCGCAGCTTCAATATCATTGCGGAAAGATGCATTGGTTCGTTCGACGAGTGACAAATGTTTTTCTTTTTCTTTTTCGAGCTCATTTTTTCGGGCTGTTGACGTGAGTCTACTCTGAAATTTTGTCTTCATTTCATCGCAAGTTTTGCATGTGTCGGTGTGCCGTTTTTTAAACGATAAATTGTATTCGGTATTAAAAATCGACCGAAAAATATTTTCTTTGGGAATCTCATCTTCATTTATGTTGCGAAATTCCATCACACGTTTGAATTCACGGTAAAGTGTAATCACATTCAGCGTAGGGCTCAAATATTTCCGAGCGGATTGTTTACGGCCGTAATGAGATTCATATTGTGGAATTTGGTCAATAAATTGCGTAATCCATTGCCTCTGTTGTTCTGTGATTTTGTTTTTCGGTGGAGCTCTTCCACGATTTTCTTTTCCCGACGGATTTTCCGTTGTAGATTTGATAGCCGCATACACTCTCGACGCCGGCACTTGTAAACATTCAAGAAAAAAATCACGACAGACTTCTTGCGATATTTTATTGGTGTCGACAAAACGGTAACTGCAATTTATGTCCCGATTTTTTGAAGCGATCAAAGGAAACAATGCAGATTTTTTCGATGCAACTGGTTTTGTTTGTACCGATCCTCGAATAAACAATGTTTTCTGCGTCCAATCAGAATGTAGATAAAATGCATCGAAAATTTCTTTCTGGCGCAAGACATCAATTTTTATTGAGCATAACTGTTTCAAGCATTTGCAAATTGTTTGAGGCTTGAAGACTTTGGCTTTCTTAACTCTTCCAGATCGCGTTACATGTTCCAATCCACGTTCAACTTTTTCTTTGGCAATCGATTTCTTGTGCAAGTGTGGCTTACAAATTCTTTTTTTCGGCCGAAACAACGCTACAGAAATTAATTTCCAATTAATATTGCACTATAATCGAAAACCGGAATAAATTTTCTAGGGAACAAACCTTTTTTTTCTTGGCCATCTTCTTCTTCTTCTTCTTTCTCTTCAGGCGCGAGTGCCTCTTCTTCTCCTCCAAATTCGCTGTTACGATCACACATTTTGCAAATTAAAATCCCAATAATAACGCACTGATTTATTATTGAAATAACAACGCAAACTCTCCATGGCGCAATGCATACTAGATCTGAAGTTGTAATTGTGGAACAAACAAAGCATTAGATAGCACGAGAGAGTGAGTGCGTTCATAACGGTATCTCTTCCCAAGAACCGATTGTTTACAATAAAAAAATCAAGGAGAATTTGTGCGTTGGACACAAAACATGCATTTTGGATTATACAACAATATAAGACATTTGTGTGTGGAGAAAAAACTATTTCTAATTGCATTTATTCATTTAAAAAAAATTCATGAAGCTGAAATAATTATTGGTTTTTTAATTTTTTCAGTATTCAAAACAAATAATCCAGTCGAAATGCAACGAAGAGAATATTAACGGAAAAATCACACACATTTCGACTTTGTGTGACACAGACACATAAATATAATACGAATGAAACCAACACTCGCTGTGCGGACGGGCATAAACAAAACAAAACAGGCGACACAGCGAAAAACAAACGACTCAAGAATGAGTGAAACAAAGAGACAGAATAAAACTTAGCGCAAAAACGAAACAGCGAGTTATCTCACTGTTGCTCTGTGTTTGAGTTATTTCTCTTATGTTCGGACATTTATTTGTCGCTTTTTTCCGCTAAGTTTTTTCTATTCCGTTTATGGAAAAAGAACTCAGTTGTTTCGGTTTTCTTATAAGCGTGTCAATTGTAATATTAGCGAAGAAAAACAAAAGAAACTATATGTACCTATAAGGTGATGTTCCCTTAGACGGAACGGCTCCTTAGACGGAACAGTCTACAATTTTTGACATCTGAATGTCACAGCGAAACGTCACTTATACTAAATGATGAGCTCATAGAGACCACACTTTTAGTAGTATTCCGACTAGTATAGACGCATGTCTTCGTGTTGAAATAAAATTTCTTGAAATTTTGTGTTTCCAAAACTTTTTTAAACATTTTGTGTACGCTTATAAGTTTGAAAATTGTGAACATTTTTTGAAGTTGTATACACTCAAAAGTAAGTAAATTTAGTTTGCTTCCAATATCCGTACAGCAATCCATCGATATGATGATTGCGTCATAAAATTTTTTTTTGCCTCATGGCAAAAATGGCCGCCATTTCCTTAGACGGAATAGTTTTGTGTCCTTAGACGGAACAGTGTGTATACGCCATTTTGAGTCATTTTATGTTCGGAATAGGCATTGTATTTGGTGTTAGTGTGTTTTTATTGATTTTTCTTGAATTCTCATACAGTTTCGTTGTGAAAATGTCAGCAAGTACGCGCAAAACACCTGCAAAAAAGGCAAAGACACCAGCAACAGCAGCTATTGATTATGATGCTGTACTAAAGGCGTTAAAAGCAGTGAAAATCGACAAGCGATCGTTGCGTGACGTCTCAAAGTCTTTTGGTCTGTCCACCACCAGCTTGTTTCGCTATATCAAGAGGTTTGATGAAGAAGAAAAAGACATTACCCAACTGACTGACGATGAAATTAATGCATTCGTTCGAAAGAACGAACCGCTCGGAGCACATCGCATGGTATTTTGATAGTTGTTCACCGTCAATGTGCCACAGCCGAAGCCAGCCTTTCGTATGCGAACACTGCTACTCAGGTTCGGAAGAAATTTCAACCGAAGCCGAGGATGAACCAATGGAAGAATAAACATCATTAATCATTACTTTTGACACCTAATGTATCCTAAAGTCGATTAAATGAAAGAACAATGAAATAAACGTTCAATAAATATCCAAAATATGATGATATTTCTTAATTTTCACACATATTTTCAAGTTTTTCCAAGTGTTCCGTCTAAGGACACAAAAAAAAATTTCCGAAAAATAAAGTGCTCGCACATTTGACGATAAATTTTTTTTTTTTGATCCAATCGATAAACTGTCTTCGGCAAAAAGATTCCTTAGGAGATTCTCTTTCCAACGGTACCCCACACTATCAATAATATTTCCTACTAGATGAAATTACATCATTGTGCAAAAGTTTGTTCCGTCTAAGGGAACATTACCTTATATATAATCTTGATGATAAAACATGACTAAAAATAATTTTTATTTATAAATAAAAAATGACAGTGAAAACTTATTTTATTTCATTTTTAATATATGAAATATGAATCAGTTCAATAGTTGCGCAATGTATTATGTTTAATACATTCGACGAATCCTACCACTGATGGCGTATTGGCAGCTCATTTTTGACGTTTCTGTACCAGAGGCCGGACTCTGGGTTGAAAAATCCATCATTTCAACTGGGGAAATATTTATTGCCGGACTCGGCGGCGGCAGCGGCGGCGATGGCAATGGCAATGGCAACGGTGCTGGCAAAATTGCTAATTGGGGCTGCTGTGCTGTTGGGTCACAACGGGAGCCCGTCCCGTAGTCCCATCCCGAGGCCCGCCCGTACCGAAGCCCGAACTCTTCGGGCTCGGGCGGGATTCAGGCTGACCTCCTGCGGGCGCTCGGGATTTTCAGGGTTTCCCGGGCATTTTTCGGACTTCGGAGCTTGGTATTCCGACGGATTTGTCGGGAATTTCGGGATTTTTCGGGTATTTCGGATCTCGGGTAAAAAAAAATAGATAAAATAAGATCGTTGCTCAATATGCCGATTTACGATTATTTTTTCCACATTATCAGCAATGAGTACCATATGTACTTCAATTACGGTACTCAATATGCTGGTTTAGATGAATCTATCGATATGATAGAAAAATGGTTCCAATTTCAATTCGAAGGTAATTGGCTACAAGTTCTGCGAAAATGGTACAATGTCATTATTAACAGCAATGACAAACAACGTACCATATGGTTTCTCGGTCCAGCTAATTCTGGCACAATCAGCGCAGGTCTAGCAAGCGGAAAAGGGGCTGTAGTAAATCAACGCCGCCGCGAGGCATATCAAGCAAAAAAGATCGAAGAGGCAATGATTCGCGAGCGATTCAACAAGCGATACGGTGCCGGAACATCTGGTCCATCATCAAGTTCGGCTGTCGGCTATTATCCTGCCGAAGCGCCAACTGGTGTTGCAATGCCCACTTCTCAACCAACCCTTTACGAACCAATAAATAATGAAACCATAACGTTCATAGAATTGGTTCAAAAGGAACAGGTTGAGAAGTGGAAACTTCAACGCCAGTTGGCAAATCAAAAGGATATAGCCGACAAGGAAATTTCCAAGCTGAATGAACTGCTGCGCGAAAGAGACGTCGCATATTCGCACGAAGCGGCGGAAAAAGAGAAGTTCCGGTTGGAAAACCTTCAGCTTCGGCTGAAAGTAAAGGCACAGCAACGCACGGAACGTAATTTACGAAAATTACTTCGGTTGTCATACCGACGAGAACGTGTTGTTGCTGTGCCATCACTTTCAAAACCGATGTCTTTGGTTTCAAAGTCGGAACCGTCTCCGAATCCGTCTCCGGAACCGAAATCAGACATGCTTCTTGAAATTGAAAGATCGTGTATGAGCACCAAAAAACAACAACACGCACATGCCCGCGATGCAACAAATACAATTCAAACACACTTTCAAATTTCAAGCAGCATGTCTTTCACAGCTGTTCAAGCATAGAACGCGATGCCAAAGAAAAATGGACGTGCGCATATTGCGACAAAACGTCCTCTTTCAAGGCTTTGATGGACCATTTGAACAGGTACATCAAGAACAAAACCACACCAACAAATGGCCACGAAAAATTTTCAATCGAAGAACATAAGGCATTGAAAGAAAAATACAAGGAAATGTACGAAAAGAATGAACAATAAAATGAATTCTAATTTATAAACACAATCCAAATCTCTTATTATTTTACCGAACAAGTGCTTCATGAAACCCCCTTAAAATTGCGCTGATCGATCAATCAGCGCATGGATACTAGAAAAAAATTGATTTATAGCACAAGTTGTTGTGCTGCGCAACAGAGTGGAAAAAACTGAATGATTGTTTTATTAAATTGCCTCGAAGCCGCGCTGATCGGTCGATCAGCGCACTGATATGGCAAACAATTCGGCCAAAAATGCAAAAAAAGTGAATCACTCTGAGTGACTGACTGCGCTTAACCAGCTCCGAAAGTCCCGAGCCCGCCCGACCCAAAACAGCCCGAATACCCGGAAACGTCCGAAAATGCCCGAACTTCCCGAAAACACCCGAATTTCCCCCAAATCCCGTACATTTTCCCGAGCCTGACGGGTTCCCGGGTCCCAAAATTCCCGTATGCCCCGAGCACCCGTGCTCGGATTTTTTCGGGAGTCGGGCCAAATTTTCAATTCCGGGCGGGCGGCGGGCGGTCCTCGGGCACGTTTCGAAGCGATTAGGGCGAATCTCGGGCCAATTTTTCGGCCCGTTTGCGACGCCTGCGGTGGCAGTGGTGGATTCCATTGATGCGAACAAATTGAAGAGAGTGTCCTGTTTGGTGGACAAAAAGTCGCAAATCTATTCGAAACAACAAAATTCACGTTCCCAAAAGAAAATGATGAGACAGCAAAAACCAGCACAGATGCAGATCAAGTGATCGAAGCCTCATTCATAAAGAACTATTTCTTTGAAAATGGTGCCATAAAAACCCATTTCATACTGCTCGTGGACTGTGAAAACCGATGCGTAAAATATATTTACACACCTAAAGCGACCAAAGGTACATAATTTTTAGTTAGTGATTTGAATTTGATTTGGTGTTTATGCAAAAAAAATACCACACAATTGAATGAATTGAAAATAATTCTATCTTGTTGGCCTACTACATGCAGATGACCAGACCGTCAACGTGCCATGCTGCAAATCGAACGAACAAGATAAAAATAAAATGAAAAATCTAAAAATTCATATTCATTCGTTGTGTATAGAATGTTGGCAAAAACCTGTATGGATCTGGGATGGTAAACGACACGGATTTTTGGCCCGTGTATGTATTCTACGTCGAAAACTAGTATTCGACTTTTTCAACGGTCGCAGATGCCGAAAATGTCGAAAACTCCCATACACACAAAACAAACTTTTCCAAATTTAAGAATTTTTTTTCTTGGATATGGAATAAGAAAAAAATAGTCTTAATTCTGAAGTCTACCATATAAAATAAAGGGTGTTTTTTTTAAATGCGTTTTTTTGATATTGAAATAAAACACACAAAAATTCTTTGATAACAATTGCTGTTGGTTTGTTTTTGTAGCGTATGGTATGCCATTTAATGTCCGACATGCAGTTCAGGGATATGACCACCACCCCTCCTTTTTGGGGGTCTTCCCGACACAAAATTTTTCGACCTTATTTTTCTTCTCTGTTCTGCTTATAATTGGCCAGAAAAGTTATTTTTTGCTCAAAATATGGACGGGTTTAGGCCAAAACTTCCATGAAATAACAAAATAAATACGAATTAGCCCAAAACTCATTAGTACAGAGTGACAAAATCTGTTTTTGGGCAGTAATCTGGTTCCACCGAGCAGCCTCTATTCTCAGCCATTTGGGCAATACCCAAAAACAATTTTTCCACTGTTTTTGACAAAATTGGTCTGGATGATCACCGGATTTAATAAAATGTCCATATCATAGCATATTTTGAGCAAAAAAATCAATTTACTGGAGAAACTGTCTCGTGTAAGTTTTTTTTCCCAAAATTTCGAATATGCAATCTGTACATCATCCAACAAAATGACCCTATTTTACGGCTATGGGCTACTCCCCCGTGGGGATACATG